TGGCCTGTAACCGTGCTGTCATGTGGTGGGGGTGTCATCCATTGTGCTTTGGGTGACTTTCCCTGCTTTTTTGTTAATTCTTTGTCAGGTGTGAAATCCTGACTCTCCCAACTTTTTCTTTGGGCCCGATATCCTCAAGACTAGTCTGTCCCTTAGAAGTAGCCTTCCTGAAAGTCTCAGCATTTCCGAGCTCCGGTGTGGACTTGGCGGAGCTAGGGCTTTGCAGTCAGGCGAGGTGTTTAGCCTTGGTGCTGATTAGTTATGCGGTGCTGGCACAAAGGTGACGTGCAGGTGGGAGTTTTCAGGAGAGGGGCCTCTCGGCCTGTGGAGGAGAAAGTTATCAAATGTTTTTTCTGACTTGGGCTCTCAGGCTGGCTTTCTAGTCCGTGCTCTGAGTTGCTCTAAAGTGATTGTGAAACTTGCAGGTTATTTGTTCAGGCCCTTTGAGTAAACCACAATCTTGATACCAAGTCTAGGAAGAACTACAAAGTATATATGCTTAATGGGTGTGGGCTACACTGTGTATACCTTTATTTGGGGGCAAAACATAGGCTGATATTTCAACGTACCATGTACTGTTTTGGAGGTTTTTCCTCTTCAGTGCAGGGGTTGGAACCCCTGGTCTTGTTAGGCAAGTGCTCCACCCCCTGCCCACCTTGTTTTTTGTTGTTTGTTTCAGGGTCTTACTATGTAGCCCAGGCTGGCCTGGAACTCCGACGCATGGGGATCCTCCTGCCTTTGCCTCCTGGGTGCTTGGGTTAGAGACCTGTGCTGTCCTGCCTGGCTCCCCCTGGGCTCACTTCAAGGGGTTTGGAGATACTGTGGAGGCTCGGGGCTCGCAGGCAGGCTGTTGGAATAGCCCCTGCTTTGTGGAGCGATTTTCCGCTTTCCCTTCTGTCACAGTTTCCCACTGCCCGGCTCGTCCTGGTCCTGAGTGGAAGGGAAGGGGGAATCAGTTTCCCCTCCCCTCCTCATCTCTGGTGGACATCTTGTCTGTGTCACAGTTTGCTGCCACCAGTTTGAAAGGCTTCTGACCGCTTTCGTTGGGAGGGCAGCAGAAGCCGGGCTGGGTTCCTGGGGCAGGGAACAGCCTCTGTCAGAGCAGAGAATAGTTGCCGAGACACAGAAGCTGTGACTGACATTTTGGCAACGCGCCTCCCACTGCCAATGACTCCTTTTCTTAGGGGTGTGATCGTGGGTCTGCTTCTCACAGTGGCTCCCCGCCACGTCCAGAGGGCTGTGGCAGCCCTGGGGTCCCACAGACCCTGAGGGCTGCTCTGGGGGAATGGAGGCAGCCTCCCCCACCCCCAGTGTGCTTCCCATCCTCGACCTTTCTCCTGAATTCCAGTCTGTTTCTTATTCGTCTGGTAATCAGAGGCAGAATCTTTGCCTTTGCCCAGCTTTGCCAGTCCAGGTTGTGGCTCTGCCCTGCTCTCCCTCCCAAGCCCTTGAGCTGGAGAGGCCTTACGGTTCAACTTGAGGGCTTGTCTTGTCTTTTCTTTTCTTTCCTATTTTATTTTTTTGGCAGTGCTGGGAATGAAACCTAGGATGACCCTGCTAGGAAAGTGCTTTGCTCTTGACCTACGCCCCTACCCCTAGTGAACCTTTCTTTCCTTCTTTCTTTCTTCCTTCTTTTTTTTTTTTTTTTTTTAAGATAAGGTCTGGCTGTGTAGTTCAGGCTGGCCTTGAACTCACCATATAGCCCAGGCTGGTCTCAAACTCAAGGCAGTCCTCCCTCCTCAGCCTCCCAAGTGCCGGGATTATAGTCATGTGCCATCACGTCTGGGTCCAGTGAACGTTTTTTGATATCTCTTATGGACGGGCATTGAAAAATGCTAAATACAGCCTTGTCAGGTTAGTGTTTTTTATTTTCTGAGACAGGATCTTGTTAAGTCACTAAATTGCCCAGGCTGGGCTTGAATTTTCCATCCTAAGTCAGTCCCCCAAGTGCTGGGGTTACTGGTGTGCAACAGTTAGGTCTTAAACCGTAAGTAACTTACTTTATTTTATTTCATAATTTATTTTTGAGACAGGGTCTTGCTTTGTAGTTCAGGCTGGCCTTAAACTCACTATGTAGTCCAGGCTGGCCTTGAACTCACAGCGGTCCTCGAGTCTCAGCCTGCCAAGTGCTGGGATGACAGGTGTATGCCTCCATGCCTGGCACAATTCATAAGTCTTGGTGGACATGCAAGGGAGTCAGTAACTCAAGGGCTACTTGAACTCTGCATTTGTGAAAGTATTTTCCTCTGGGCCCATGGCAACTCTGGCTGTGTGGAAGCGTTTCAGTCTGCAAGAGTATTGTCTTGTTTGGAAACTCCAGCTTTTTTTTTTTTTTTTTTTTTTT